CAAGGTTAGGTTCTGTAGGGTACGGGTAATGTCTGTGGGGTATTGGATCTGTTACAGAACCGGAGGGTAATCTCTGTAGGGTACGGGATGTGCTACAGAACTCACAGAAGTGTAGGGTACTGTGGTGCAACCGTCACAGAATCACAGAAGTGTAGGGTATTGTGGCGCTACGGGCACAGAACTCACAGAATTGTTCTGTAGGGTAAAACAGAGGGTAATTACCCCCGGTATAGATCTGTGGGTACCCTACAGAACCTAACCTTGCAACATTGCCTCCAGCTTTCAGCACCTGCTTACCACCTAAGGCGGCGAATGTAAGCCTCTCAATATTCACTCTATTTCGCCATGAATGAAACGCCTCAACATTGAACACCTTGCTGCAGGGATGTACATAGACAGTGCTTTCGCATGCATAGTCTAGACTAGTGATTCAATGGACACGACCACGACGCGCTATGCTCCTACTCTTTCTCTCCAATTCTTCGTGCTTCTGACTTTGCCCATTCAAGTGAGGTCTCCTCCCACAACGGAATGGTCGAATGAAAATCGTGTGAAATTGGCGACGTTGTAGAAACACCCCTGGGAATAAACTGAGTCTCACCTCTCCCGGAAGGCTCTGTTGGCGTTCGTGACTCCTTCCCCGTTGCCCTGTCCGCTGTCCCTTACGCCAATCAAGCAGTCGACCTCATTCCGTGCACCGATGACACGTTCCCAAAGGAAGGCACTCGACAATGTTCGTATTCTGACCCCTCCGGCAATGCTTGTTGCTGAGGAGCCTGCGTTACTTTGTACCCTGTCTCCCTCCCCGCCCCGCCGCTGTCGCCGCGAGCATTGCCAGTACTGGGCCTGTTCCTGTACTCCCTCGCTGTTCTACGATGATAACGGTGCCGGTGTAAAGGAGACAGGTAGCCAGCCAGACAGACAGACAGACAGACAGACGAGGATGGGCTACAAGAGATACCCAAGAGTGAATGACACTGCAGTAGCTCATCATGCGATCGTGAATGGTTGTGCGTCAAGCTGGACAGAGGGTCGCTATCCGCATGTAAAACAAGCACGCCTTACTTCTTCCTTTGCCAGGAGACATTTCCCTCCCCTCCATGTTTATCTGGCCGGGGTATGTACGACTACGGCAGATTCCCTCGCCCAATATGCATGTTTTATTGTGCATCTGTGTAATGCCAGACGTGCCAAACAGGATCGACAAACGAAGCACAGGCGTGGTGTAGTGGATTTGTGTGAGGGGGAGACATACAGTGCAACAAACGGCGTAGGTTAGGTGCCAGTGCATCACGGCTCGACCAACTCGAGTATCACGTATCCCCGAGCAAACGTATTACAGGAGGGGTTGCTTGGCTGCACATGCGTTGTCATCGTTGTAAGCGCTGCAGGATTGCTCACCCGAAAGTCCTACAGTAGGCGTTGAAAGTTTACTACTCCTTGCGGCAAACGACACCGCTGCTGTCGCCTGTTGACAAGCTTGCACAGAGTGGCTTCTGCAAGGCTGGGCACAAATTAACATGCGAAGGGGTGTCACCCGCAAGCAGGAAATAAATAGTATTGCCTGCATTAGACGAGAACGAGTTCTTTAGAGCACCGATTTACGATCTGCTGAGTTGTGAGAAGAAAGCTACGTTAGGGAACTCTTCGTTACACCGGTTTCGTCGCGCTCCGACAATAGATGGCCGTGCTTGACACGCACTTACCCAAAATTATCGAAAATTCTTGCCCTCGTCCTCGGGAGTTCGACTAGAGGAAAAGGAACGGATGAGCGTACACACGCAGAACAGCAGTTGCTCGGTTCGAACCAGGAGAAGCAGAGGAAGCACTCAGCTAAGCACGCAACACCACTAGGAGGGGCAAGACAGCACTGGGGAGGGAAGGGAGCCATACACAGCTCGTGACGGATACGTTTGTTATTGCTGTTGCTCCGGTGCGTGGGCAGCAGGAGGGGTCACCTGAAAACAAAACTAGCTGCTGTGTCAAGCTGTGCCAAGGAATAAAAAAAATGCACAAGAAGAGAGTCGTTAGGGAAGGCGCATGCATGAGATGGGAGTCATTGCCATTACAGCAGGACCAGCAGCACTACAAAATGCATTCGTGCAAGCTATGTGCATTTGTGTCTGTGTCAGTGCTGTTGGGTGCCGATCGTTTGGCGGTGCTGCCGTTGTTGTAGCGTTGTAGCAGAGGCGAGCAGGCGTTGTTCGTGTTCCTTCCCCGTTGATGTGAAGCAAACTTCCGGCGGGGGCGGGTGCGTGATTGGTTGTGGAAGATCCGTTCGAGTATAATAACTCCGCAAGTAATTGAATTGCGCGGTCTGGGATGCTGCGTTGCTGCCTGGAAGCAGCGTGTCTCGCAGCACGGCATCGCGGAGAGACCACTGCAAGGTATCGAGTCGTCACGAGCGGCTCACTACCCCCCTTATCTAGTACATGCGGTAAGAATTCATTACCGTATCATGCGAGCAGCAGACTGTGGCAACGGTTGACACTTTGTCATGGTGTCATGAACTATCCGAACTGCGTGCTACGCCGGGAAACCTTGCCTACACCACACAACAATCGATTTCATGCTTTCCCAAGATAGGCGCACGGCTTCCCGGAGTGTGCAGCTATGCATGAGCAAGGTAGACTGTGATGGGGGTTACGTCCAACATGATAACAGAGGACAGAAAAAAAAACGAGAAAAGTTGACAAGGTTTCCACCTACAGTACATACATACACCACGTACATATGGCCGTCACCCAACGAGACAGGGGGCCTCTTTTCCTCACATCAGTGCCTGGAGCTGGCCCATGGCTCCATCCGCGCAGCGCATACGCAGTAGTCATCAAGCGAGCTAGCAACGGGAGGGTTGGGTCGATGCCAGCAACAGAGCAACAGAGCAGGAGAGCAGCAGAGCAGAGCTGTGAACATATCCGGAGATAGGGGGCCCGATAGAGAAAGTAGGAGGGGGGGGGTGTAGCGGGATCGATGGCTTCCACAGGGCCCCTAAGACCTGCTGCCTGAGGACCACGACTTCCACCACGCCGTAGCGTCCGTACTGATGGGAGCGATGGCACAAGTTCACGGGCCTTGTGAGACTTTATGGCGGAGGAGAGGGCCGAGAACGAAATGGATGGAACGTCGCCAGCAAATCGGTTCGGACCTCTTCTGGCGCTGCGGATCGGAGATGATGGTTATGTGCATATTCGTTGAACACATGGGTCAATCGGCCGGGTACATTTTTGCGCTACCCGCTGTCGATGTGCAACGGTTTCGAAACCCCTTGAAAGCGATAAGGCAGAGCCGGGCCGGATCTTGGAGCCGGCGGCCCCCGAGTTTTTCTCATCTAATCCCGCCTTTTTTTTTGCTTGTCACTTTTGAGCGGAGATAGAGCGCGGCCGCGCCTCCTACCGCTTTCGTACCCAACACAGGCGAGAGAGTAATGAAGTGGTTTCCGGTGTGGCCGATACTGCTTCTACTGCTGGCTGTCACGCTCCTGCCTCTCGCGGACGCCTCCAAGGGACAGGGGGTACCTCTGAGAGCTAAGATGATTGTCAAGGGCATCGGAGGCGGACTCTGCAGTGCTCTCCTCGAGGATGACCCTGACATCGATATGGTCAACGATATCCCGCAGCACCGCGGGGATGCCCTTGACTATCGTCTTGGCTCTCAGAGGCACAGGCATATCGTTGACCATATCGATGTCAGAGTTATCCTCGAGGAGAGCACTGAAGAGTCCGCCTCCGAGGTGTTTTCGACGACAACGCAGCCTTAAAAAAAGCGGATAAAAGAGGAGGTACTCCTATCGATTAGCAAAGGGGAGGAATGACGGGTTCGAAACTGGACAAGGAGCGGGGAAGCTGAGTGGAGGGTTTACTGTGATCCGTTGTGTTTGAAAGCCTCTGCGTGGGGGGGGGCGGCATGGATGACAAGTGGTTCTCCTCTTTCCCCCCTGAGGTTTGTACCTGCGTGTTATTTTCGGCAGTGCGTTTTGAGCACCTCCACAATACGTCAACACTGCTGCGATAGCAAGCCCAAGGGCTCGACCCCATGGCCTTACGTTTTATCCAAGCACGAGCTGTCCGCTCGACTGCCACACCCAATCGTTTTCCTTTCGTGTACCGCCATTCGGCGAAGACCACCCGAGATCCAGTCCGGATCTTTCGGCATGATTTGGTCCTCGCGCTCCCGCCAGCATGTCATCTGCTTCCAAGGGGTGATGGCAGTGGCGCCCCCCCCTGACCAAATCATGCCGGATGATCCGGACTGGCACTCCGATGGTCTTCGGCGATTGGCCGGTGCGATCGATATTTAATAATGAGCCGTGGAGCGAGCGAAGCGAGCGACATTTTTTTCCTTCGTCCCCAAGAGGGAAAAAATGGCTATATATATCAGCCAAAGTTGCGCCGCGCGATACAGGGGCCCCAAAACTTGATTACGGGGAAGCCGGAATATCGCACCTTCGGGATCAGAACGACATCTTAGGCCGCCGATTGACGATCTGTTCGCTTCTGAGGAAGAAGAAACATAGCGCGCTCTTCGTCGCACTGGTTTGGTCGTGCTCCGATCGCAGATGACCGTGCTACACAAGCGTTTGTGCCCCATATTCGTCGGAGATCTTGCTCCCCGACCCCGGGGTTTCTACCCAAAAGGCGTGTAAACAAAAGCGGAGACCGCGCCCGCGCGATTCAAACCAGGACAGGAAACACAGAGACGCAACAACTCCAAAACACGCAGAACACCGGCAGAGCCGCAACAACACCACCAAGGAACGCAGCGCCGCTGAGACGCTGGTCTGAGACCCGCAACGAAAGCCAGGATGTGCCGGGCCTGTAAGACCTGTGCACCGTGGGTATACTGTAGGCATGCGCCATGTGTAACCTGGCGGGTGCTTATTGATGTTGAGTGGGTCCAACCGACTGCTCACAAGGGCGGACCGATGATTACCATTGATTGAACACAAAAATAGCACACCTTCCCAAGTCCAGATCACGCCTACCTACCATCATCGAGCAACCGTTGAGGGAGTGAGGGTCTGCTGCTGCTGTGCGTTATCAGGATGGTTCTCCGCGGGATCGGTTCAGATTGCGTACTTGCACCGCGCTACTGACTGCCTTCGCAAAAGCCTTGCCCTGCATGCTGTTGTTGCTGCTGCAGGGTGTCTCTCGCATCAAAGTCATGACGTCATGGCCATCAACGGCTTTGTTGTTGTTGGTTCATGCTGGACTGCTTGCTTTCACTTGGCGGGACACTCGGAAGGCTTGAGACGAATGTGGCGGGCAAGATGTGAGCCTGACGCAATACTTGCCATCTGTCGTGTCACAATCCTATGTCTGCGCTGCTGGTTGTGCTCCTCGACGGTGTGATGTGTGATACGCTCGCCGCCAGGTGTGCGTGTGCTATTGCGTCCGCACAGCGGGCAGACTTCAAAAATTGTTTCTTCGTGCTGCGTCAAAGCGGAAAAGAAACAACCGCATGTAAAGTGCAAATTTTGAACGGTGGCCGCACACATACAACCCGTCGCACGCGTGCCGTCCCTCTGTGGTGTACGCGTAGCTGCACCACACACGATGCACGCTGATGTGTGTCGGGATTCGTGCACCATCAGCATCGCAGATAAGACTGCTGCGAGGTGTTGAGTCGAACGACGCGGCTCATTCCCCCCCCATAACTAGAAATTGTGGTATTGCCCTGGCAGCGTCTTGTGGAGCATTTGCACGTGGAATTTCCTCGAACTTTCGAGTGTCGGGAGTCCCGTGCGGGCATCAAACGTGTTGCTGTATTTTCCCGGAGTGCGGTTGCCTATGCGAGGCAGATTGAGGCAGAGCTGGTACGTGTGTGCATGGCCGTACTTCTCATATTGATAGTCCATTTTTAGCTAGAGAGCATACACCGTCGCTGATTGGTGGCATGCACGTTACGATTGCATATCGGGCCACTTTATCGAACCACACAGCAGCGCTCTCGTTTTGCTGAAGTGCTCCCTTGTCCGCCTTAATCGAACAAGTGTCAGCAACACGTGGCCGATTTGACCACGTGGGTCCAGCTGTTGCAGACGACAGATAAAAGTGGGTAGGTAGATGTGTCCTCGTGGTGAGGGAGAATGAGAGAAGAAGT